GTCAGGAGATATCTGCGACAAGAGCCCAGACTCGTTGGGATGAGGGAACGCTGTGGCGGCGCTGCTGCGAGCCCAAGCAGCAAAGACAAGAGCGATGTAGAATAGACTGCGCATGGATGTCTAGAGAGGGTGTCCAATGGAAGGAAGAGCCTTGTGGTCTTGAAAGAAAAACGTGAAATGACTGCTGGATGGCGTGGCTTTACAGTACCAGAGAACGAGCGTGTCGCTCTGAGGGGTGCGCGCAAATTCTCGCTCTGTTTGATTCAAATGTAAACATTAACAGCTGTATGCAGTGCACTCGATGGTGAGTAGTTTACATTTTTTTTGTTTACAAGCGTAAACAAAAAACATAAACAGTAGCAAAAAAAAGTAAATAATAGCAGCTATCAGATACTGTAGTGCAAGATGCGATACTTTTGTCGTCCGATCGCCATCAAAAATGCTGCTCAAATTGACATAAGCAATGCTTATTAAACACTCATAATCTCTCCCCGGCGTCTTTAAGTTTCACCCCCGCCATAACTTCTCTATGTATTTCGGCAGCTCATCACACTGATGGCCCGAGGTCTACGACTTGAACGCTGCCTTTCTGCGATGTCTGCCTTCCTTCAGCCGATGGAGACGGTATCAATGACGAGCGAAGTATGTGCGTCTCAATCCCACTCATGACATATTATAAATCTTAATAATAAACATAACTTTGAAATTCCTATAGTGGTGTCAATGCCAGAATAGAGAGCCAAATCTGAATACGGTAATAGAGAAAAAAAATACCTGGTTTTAAATACTCATTTGATTTTGCTTTGTAAAAAGTGTCACTTTGTACTGGACAGTGCAACCATGTACTGTACAGATTATTGCGACAATCAGTTTCATGGTCTGCTTGAGCAGATGCTTTCATTTCGACTGTTCGTTGAATGGTCAGAGGTCGCAAATGGTGAACCGTAGGCATACAATAAGTGGCACAGTCAATCCCGAGGTTCTCGATCAGCTACATTAGGGGGTGTCAGACTTGATCAAAATCCAAAAATAATCACATGCCATTTCGCCCCAAATCACATGTGTTTTTCCGGCTAATAGCATGTCATTTCATAAT